ATATACATTAGCTCAGCTGAAATAGATTCCATGAGAATGAAAGATAAAGGGTATTTATCTCCTATACCCACAAAGAAGCAAAATGATATTTCAGGGCTTTGTGGAAATAAAATCATGATGTGCTGTTCAAAGTAAACTAGTGTAGTGGAGCTACTCCAGAATCATTCCCACCAGATTAAGTCATCAATTTTTAAAACTAAAAGATGTGAATTAAAGCCAATGTGTATCATGAAGCTAAAATTTCCTACAATGCTTAAAAAGGAGCAGCCCGAAATTTCCTTTAAAAAAATGACTTATCCTGGGGCACCTGGGTGACTCAGTCAAGTGTCTGCCTTCAGCTCAGGTCATGATCCCAGGGTCCTGGATCGAGCCCTGCATGGGGCTCCATGTTCAGCGGGAAGACTGCTTCTTCCTCTCCCACCCCGCTTATGTTCCCTCTCTTGCTGTGTCTCTCTCTGTCAAATAAATAAATAAAATCTTTTAAAAATCAATCAATAAATAATTTTTAAAAAATGACTTATCCTACCACTTTATTACACAGAGGACCTTAAATTTCTTGATGTTGTTTTCCCTGAAATATACGTATAGTCCGAGGAAACAAGAATTAGTACAATTTGAGGGAAGCCTGGGTGGCAGTCAGTTAAGTGTCCAACTCTTAGTTTCGGCACAGACTGTGATCTCAGGGTCTTGAGAAAGAGCCCTGGGTTGGGCTCTGCACTCGGCAGGGAGTCTGTTTGAGATTCTCTCTGCCTCTCCCTCTGCCCCCTCCCCTGCTTGCACATGTGCTCTCTCTCTTTCTAAAATAAATTTAAAAAATTTAAAAAGTATTAGTACTATTGCACTGATTTTCATTCCTGGATAACTTTTCCAGAAACATTAACCGATTTAATGTCCTTGTGAAAGAGGTATTCTGACAGAGAAAAAAACTACACAAGATCACAGAGTTCACCTAAGCCCACAAAGTCAGCCAGCATTTTTCTAAGGCATAAATAAAATATTAGAAATAGTCAAGGCCATTAGAATCTGACAGTCCATCAGTATTTTAAGATGATGTTAAAGAGGACACACTTAGGGATTTTTCAATTAGCAACCCAAGCCTTACTACATAGCCAAATGAAAAACAGCATTTTGAAATTAAAGAATTACCCTGACAGCATCTCTAATGTTGAGAAGCCCAAACCCTGAAAATTCAGAAAAAAATACTGGTGACAAAAATACCTTGATTTTTCCACAAATTGCAAGAAGAGTTTGAACTGATCTGAAGTAGATTTAAAAAAAAAAAAACAGGATGATTCACACAGATCTGTGACTACCATACTCCATGTAGATGGCTCATCAGGATACTGGAAAACATTTGCTGAAGTCATCAGATTCAAGAAGCTACTTTTAGAACCCTACATCCAAAATTTCTATTGAATAACTGAGGTTAGGAATGAAGCACGAGAGATGGACTGAGAGATACTGTGATGACAAGAGAGAACCAAGGACAGTGGAACATAGAACTTTAAAGCTGTTATCTGTCATTTCCAAAGAAGCTTGAAAGCCTTCTAACCTCTGCGTTCTTTTGATTGGAGTCAGGGATGGGCAGGGGAATAGTTCAGCTGTAGGCGTCCTCCTTCAAGTCCAACACTTGTAACTAACTTTGTGGGTGTGTAAGAAGGCTAGAAGGGCAAAGGGCAGGGATGGGTAGATGGCAGCCATGGGTAAGAGGGACAGGCAGTAATCACAGCTTAAGCCAAGGGTTGGTACAGTGCCTAGAGTTTCTAGAGTCTAGAACAGAGCAGAGAGTTGGAAGGGAGAGTAATAAGAGACCCAGAGAGCATAACAAGAGCCAGCCAAAGATCTGGAGACCAGAATATCAGCCAAGGTTAAAAAGTGGGCCATAAAAAAAATAAGTGGGCCATGAATCCAGGTTTCCAGCTAAGAGGATATGAAAAAGTCAGCAAATCCTTTCCATAAAAATCAAGTATAAAACTGGATAAAATCATCAACAACCACTTTAAGGGTCTGGGAATTGATCATCAAAGCCAAACAACACATTGAAAAATGTTTAATTTTGAAAAATTGCTAAAGCTTGGGAGTAAGTAGGACAGGACTCTGTGACCTTCTTGCCAGGGGCAGCTCTCGCCCTTCCCAGCTTGGTCAGTGAGAACTTAGTTTCATCAGGATAGGTAGAGTAGGCTAGGGGCACCTGGGTGGCTCAGTCGGTTAAGCGTCTGCCTTTGGCTCAGGTCATGATTCTAAGGCCCTGGGATCGAGTCCCGTGTCAGGCTCCCTGCTCAAAAGGAAGTCTGCTTCTCCCTTTGCCTGCCGCTCCCCCTGCTTGTGCTCGCTCTCCCTGTCAAATAAATAAATTAAATCTTAAAAAAAAAAAAAAGGATAGGTAGTGCTGGCTGGAAAATCAGCAGCTTTGCTGCCACAGGAGGTGGACTCTACTGGGAGTGGAGGTGAAAACCTGCAGCTTTGTCAGCTAAAAGTGGCAACCTTGGTGGAAAACAGACAAGGAATACCCACAGCTCCGTGAGCGTGAAGTTACAATTCCCACTGGGAAGACGGACAGACAAGCCAGAAATTTAAAAGGGAGATCTTGGAAATGAAAGAGTCACAGAAGTGTGAGATAAGCTCACTCCATATCCCTGGCTGACTGGGACACTAGGCATATACACAGGGGAGACTCGAGAGAGCCTAGTGGCAAGCAGACTCCAAGGCTGATGGAGAAAGGTACTCCCAGCCCAAGAGTTCAACGGGCAGAGAGCAGAAGCCCTACAGACTCGAGGTGTTTAAGCACAAGGTCTGCCCCAATTCCTGGCGGAGCACTAAGCTATGCAGACACAGGGAGGGACAACCTCGAGCAAGAGAGGCTAAAAAATAAAAAAATAAGAATTTAAAAGTGAGCAGAGACATCCACGGTTGCATACTATGGGGGAGATAGATTTTGCAGTCTAAATCAAGGAAAGTTACATTTAAAAAAGCCTCAGAAAAATAAATCAGAATCCACAGTTGCTACAATGTATTATCTAAAATGTCATTTTCAACAACAAAAAACTTATGCTGTGCAAAGAGAGAAAAGTGTTAGGAAAAAAAAACAGTCAATAGAGCAAGACCAGATGTTAGATTTAACGAAGACTTGAAAGCAGCCATTATAAAGAAGTCCAAAGAATTAAACTATATTCCAAGAATTAATGGCAAATAGGATGACAATGACTCAACAAATAGAAAATCATGGGCTGCCTGAGTGGCTCAGTCAGTTAAGCATCCAACTCTTGATCTCAGCTCAGGTCTTGATCTCAGGGTTGTGAGTTCAAGCCCCGTGTTGGGCTCCATGCTGGGAATGGAGCCTACAGAAAGAAAGAAGAAAAGGAGAGGAGAGGAGAGGAGGAAGAGAGAGAGAGGAAGGAAAGAAGGAAGGAAG